AGCTTTGTGACCTGGCCTCGCCATCTTGGCGAACAAGTGTCAAAGATAAATGAAGCGAAATGTCGTTTGAAGTTTTTACTTTTATTTTGGCGATTCTCATCAGTATTGTGTTGATATTTTTGGCAATTTGGAACGTAAGTATATGTGAATCACTGTAGGCGTACATTTATTGCAGTTTCTGAGTTCTTTTATTTCCTATAGATTATAGCGTTCGATGACCTTAAAACGGACTACAAGAACCCAGTCGATCTGTGCAATAGTTTGAATCCGGTGAGTTAAATACTATAACGTTCTAAAAATCAATTGACATTTCGAAGTGTATTTCTGTGTGTACAGATTAAATTGTAAACTAACCAGAGTAGTTATGGTACTCGTACTAGTTCCAATATTGAATAAACTTGTGCTTTTTGAAACATTGCTAATTAATAAACTGGATTGTAACTTGAAAATACACCTGCTACAGTAATGGTTTTGTGGTTCCTAAAGTTTTTAAGGTTGTATATTAAGCATTTTTATTACACTGCATGGACTTGGAAATTATTTAAACTTGTTGTTCTTGAATTAAATTTTCGAGAAATAGGCTTAAGAGTTGGCCCTCACTTCTTGAAATCCAGCTTGCTCTTCAGACAAGTAGCTTTCAAATTTTGCTTGCCCTGTGTAAGTCCTAATTTACATTTTTATTTATTTGTAAAATTACTTGCCTGATCCATTAGGCAATTGAGAATGAAAAGTGACTTGCCCAGCAGGAAAATCTGCCTATCCTGGACGACCAGATGGCACTTTTTTTTTTTGAGCCCTGCTAATAGTGTTATTTTTCTTATTATTTTCTTTGTAAATTCTTATTGCAGCTTGTCTTACCAGAATATGGAATACACTTGTTCATAAGTCTTCTTTTGCTGGCTGGTGGCCAGTGGACAGCCTTCCTTTTTAATCTCCCTCTAATAATTTACAATATTCACAGGTAACCGAACGTGCTATTGTAATTTTTTTTTTTTTTTTTTTTTCTCTCATCTGTTTGTTATTAACTATTAGTCTTGTTATATATTATTAGATACCAGTCTTTTTCTTTTTCTTCGCGTTTAAATTTCGATTGTAATCTAGTTAACGGTCACTNTTTTTTTTTTTTTTTTTTTTTTTGTCATCATATAATGTTGAAAAAGAAATCTCAAGATTTTCCAGCTTTTATCATCTGGCTTGGAAAGAAGAGCTTAGGTACATCATTGCTCTAAGGAGAAACTAAGCGGCATACTATTTTAATTTACTCTACTGCATTTGTGTAGCAAATTGATTTTTGAACCAACAGTCCAGTGAGTCCACTGAGATTCAAAGTTGGTTTCTGAGAAGAAAATGAAATTAAGGGTGAACTGTCATTTAGCCATGTTAAAGATGAACTGACATTTAATTTAAGTTAAATTAAGGGTGAACTGTTATTTTATGTAAAGTTAAGAGTTAACAGCTGTTGTTTTGAAACTTAACTAAGGATTTGTTGTGTTTGCTGTTGTCTGCTGGTTTGATGTTGAAGTTTTGAAAATACAGCATATTTTCTGAACAAGGTGAAACTTGTGGAGTTGTTCAGTTGTAAATTAAGACCGGGGAATTCAAATTGATGAATTCATAGTAGAAACAGTAGTCTTGATGGAAGAAAAATGTAATATTCATTCCCAAGGATCAGTTTTACAATTGATTGCTGATTGCTCTTCAATTGTTTTTTCTATTTATAAATTATATAACATACATGTACATAACTTTTAAAATCAAAATGCCTCTGATGCTTGTGTTGTTATATATCTACACTTGTGGTACTGAACTGAACTAAAATAGCTGATGGGGTGTAGGGAGGCCACATGTACACATGTACCTCTGTCCATCAAAGTGGTTTAATTGATTCTCCAATTTTTTTGAAAGAAAGTTCCTACATTTCCTTTTTTTACAATCATGATTTTCTTTTCCCCTATTTTTCTGAACAACCATGCTGCTGGACACACTGTGATAACTACATGTATTTTATGAGTTTGCTTTGATTCTATCTTAGGTATTCTAACAGGCCAGTAATGAGTGTACCTGGTCTTTATGACCCAACAGAGGTTATGAATGCCAATGTCATGTCTCGCTGCCAGAAGGAGGGGTGGATTAAACTGACATTCTTTCTACTGTGCTTCTTTTATTATCTCTATAGGTATGTGACTGTTGATTCTACACAGACTGAAAGGATTTATCCTGGCTTA